GTCCGGTATATATAAGATGGTCTCAACGTGACGCGACAATGTGTGTGTGGGTGTAGGTAGTGAGTAATTGATCTGCAGTCAGAGAGTATTGTTGAACGCGAATGTTGAAATCAAGTGTATCGTAAAGTTATATTCAGAAAGAACAAACCAGTTTTATTAAGTAAGGACTTGTGTCGCTAAAGTTTCGTCCGAACGAAGTTACGGAAAATTAATTAACAAACGAAGACGTAACAAATTGGTGTCAGGAGTGGGATAAAAAAAAATGAAGACGAGTAGCGGCAAATCAAACTACAGCTTAGCAGACTTGATGGCAGCAATACAAGAGCAGCAAAAGAAACAATAAGAACGAGAAAAGAAGCAAGAAGAGAGACAACAGCAGTTGCAAGAAAACCTGCAACAGTGGCAGCTCGATCAGCAGAATAAACAAGAGAAATTGCAGCAGTTGTTGGAGGAAAAAGAAAAGAAACGAGAAGAACGAGAAGAGAAATTACAACAGTTGTTGGAGGAAAAAGAAAAGAAACAAGACGAACGAGAAGAGAAATTACAGCAGTGGTTGGAGGAAAAAGAAAAGAAACAAGACGAACGAGAAAAGAAACAAGAAGAAAGATTACAGCAGTGGCAAGAAAACCTGCAACAGTGGCAGATCAAACAACAAAATAAACAAGAGAAATTACAGCAGTTGTTAGAGGAGAAAGAAAATAAACAAGAAGAAAAATTACAGCAGTGGCAACTGGAACAAGAAAGGAAACAGGAAGAAAGTCTCCAACAGTTGCAGGAAAGTCAGCAGCAACTACAGGAAAGTCAACAACAGTGGCAAGAAGTACAAATGGAAAATATTAGTATATTTAATACAAGGGGGATACATTGACCATCGACTTAATCAGCCCCAGACAATGGCAAGCCCCTTACAGAGCCCGCAGCTAAACCTAATTCAGACATATTCAGTCCCGTTAGAATTCACATCTCAGATATGAATGTCAGTAATAGGAGTGATCCAGTACGAAAGAAGCCACAGGAATTCGATGGGAAGGCACCGTGGGAAGCATATAAAGCACAATTTGAGCTACTGGCAGAGATGAATGGATGGACAGAGGAGCAGAAAGCAGTATATCTGGCAACGAGCTTGAAAGGACAACCACTGGAAATACTTGGACAGTTGTCAGCAGAAGACAAACACAACTATAGAGCACTTGTAGCGGCTCTAGAACTCAGGTACAGAACCCAAAATCAGTCTGAAGTCTACAGGGCTAGGTGTAGATTGATTTTTCTAAAAGCAAGTGTTTTGCGTCCTG